ACAATTCATTCAATACAATACATATTATTTTCCTCTCTCTCTCTCTCTCTCTCTCTCTCTCTCTCTACTATTCTAACATGATATCAGAGCTAGGTTAAGTACCTAGTAATTTTGCTTTACCAGCAGGCGGCAGCCTTGCCTTGGTCTCCCATCGGACCTTAACCTATTACACTGTCATGTTTTGCTTTCAGTATCACTTTGTAGTGATCTCTTCTTCTATCTGTTGGTTTATTCCTACTCCAAATATCTCTATCATATTTTATTTTTATTTTTTTTGTCTTTTACTCGTAATACATTTTTTTTCCTCTACTCTATCTTTCCTTCTGCTTCAACCTCAAATTGGTTTCTATCTTCAGACCTATTTGAGTTTGAGGAGGGGTATTATACCTATATCATGGTGAGTATGGTTATACACCATGCAAACCACCCAAGCCACCCCCTTGGCACACTCTCTAAGTCGTCTCATGTGGCGCACCACCTAAGTCGCCCTTTAGCGCACCACGCAAGCCGCCTCCCCTGGCGCACAATCCAAGCCACCCTTTCTTGCGCACAACCCAAGCCGTCCATTGGCGCACCACCAAAGTCGCTCCTTGATTCAACATCCAGTCACTGGCGCACTCAGTTATCTATTACTATCATCGTTCAGTGCCATGTCATAAGTTATGTGTGTGCCACGCTTGCTGGTTCAACATCCAGTCTCTACAACGGTCCGGTATGACCTCGTAAATTGTCCCGACATTGATTTTGGTTAGCTCCTATATCAGTCCAGCATGACCCTTTTAAACTATCCTGGCATTAGTTCCAGCCAATTCCTACAATGGTCCGACACTACCATAAACTGTCTCTCGACATTAATTTCAGCCAGTTTCTATATCGGTTCGACACAACCGTAAATTGTCCTGGCATTAGTTTCAGCCAGTTCCTACAATGGTCCGACACGACCATAAACTGTCTCTTGGCTTTAGTTCCAGCTTCCGATCTATTTTAAGTGCCCTTGCGCTCCCGTTCAGATTTTGCAATCTATTTGCCTTTTATTTTATTTAGTTTTATTTCATGTTTTAGTTTCTCTCTCCAAACTCAAAATGTTTATCCTCCTTGAGTTTGAGGGGGATGTTAATGTATATATGGTATATATTCCTACATATATTAGGTATTGATTTCCTAGATATATTAGACATTGTCATAGTTAGGTCTCTTATAGGATACTCTTTCTCATAGTTAGATTTCTAGTAGGATATTCTTTCTCAGCCTATATATACAGGCTTTCTAACAATTCATTCAATACAATACATATTATTTTCCTCTCTCTATCTACTATTCTAACACAAAAATAAAAAATAAAAAAATGCGATGCCAGAATCGAAAGACAAGATGGAAAATAAAACAAGCCTCGTTCATATTGATTGTGTTGCCATCTCCTAATTGCATTTTGTGTGATGTCATTTTTGGATCTCAATCAATAGTTTTTGTCACGACCCAAACCTGGTACCCAAAAGATTGGCGTCACAACAAGATAAAAATAAAATAATTCTAAAATTACTGTAGTAGTAGCGCAACGGATAAATTAAATAAATTAAAATAAAATAATTAGGTACTAAAAGTTTATTAAAAAGAAATTAAAATAGTCATTTAGGCTTTTATTTTATTATAAGAGTACAATCAAAAATACAAATAGTACAAAAAAAAAACACTGTGGTTTATCCCCCATCTTAATCCTGCTAAATCTCGTCACCTGAAAGGGGTAGCAACTATAAACACATAGCAGAGTGAGAAATATTATACTATGAGTATAAGGGCACAACATAGCCATAGATAGTTATTTAAGCTAAAATATTAACATAATGTAAGTTGAATAAACAAATTAATTAAGTGGCAAAAACTGAAATGAAGAAATTACGTAAATAACTATAACCACGACACAGGACAGGATAGAACAGAACAGGGGTCACTGGAGTGACAACTAGAACAGGTGTCAATGGATCCATGACAAACAGAGGACTACAAAGTGGTCAAACAAGGGCCATTGGTTATTTAAGTCCTCCAAGGCATGAGACTCCCGTGGTGATACTTATAGAAAATAATTGTTTACAAGTTATTTGTCAAATACTTTCTAAAATTTAAACAAACATATCCATAGGTTTTCATTTAAGCAAATAGAGGTCAAAAAATAATCCACATAATTGAAACATTAATATAACTACAAAACATAAATTACATAAAATACATTGTGGTAACTCAAAACATTCGTAAAATATATTATGGTGACTCAAAACATATAGAAAACACATTGTAATAACTCAAGGTATAATATAACTCTAGGATTGACCCTTAGCTTTTAGTTTCCTACTACTAACTCCCTTAGGATTGACTCTTAGCATAGTCTTGTTTCGGAGAACTTGATCACAACGATCAAGAATCTGCACAGGCTGTTCTTCATAAGAGAGGTCTTTTTGAACCTCCAAGCTCTCATAATCAACAATATGCCTTGGACTGCCGAAGCATTGAAACGTGAAACACATTGTGGACATTGGACAAGTTTGGTGGAAGCGCAAGGCGATATGCCACGGCACCAATCCTTTCTAGTATCTTGAATGGCCCGATGTAATGTGGGTTTAACTTTTCTCGTTTTCCAAATCAGATAACCCCCTTGTGGGTGAGATTTTAGGAACACACGATCTCCTATTCGAAATTCTAAGTCCCGTCTTCTTGTATCTGCATAGCTTTTCTGGCGGCTTTGGGTAGTGCGAATTCAATGTTAGATGAGTTGAATTTTATCACTTGTGATTTGCACAATTTCGGGCCCTAATAATTTCCTGTCTCCGACTTCCGTCCAACATAGAGGTGATCGATATCTCCTTCCATACAGTGCCTCGTACGGTGCCATTCTAATGCTTGCATGGTAGCTGTTAATATAGGCGAACTCCACCAAAGGTAGGTGATCATCCCAATTACTTTTGAGGTCTAGCACACACACACGTAACATATCTTCCAAAGTCTAGATCGTCCTTTCAGATTGCCCATCGGTTTGCAAGTGATAAGCCGTACTGAACTTCAGAGTGGCTTCCAAAGCTTTTTGCAATTTGTTCTAGAAGTGAGACACGAAGCGGGGGTCTCTATCAAATACAATTGAAACTAGGGTGTCATACAAATGAATGATTTCCTTAATGTATAGAGTGGCGAACTTAGAGAGGGAATACATGATTCTGATTGGTAGAAAATGCATCGACTTCATCAATCGATCTACGATAACCCATATTGCATCATTTTTTGAGATTGATTGCAGTAGCCCGACCACGAAGTCCATAGTAATGTGCTCCCATTTCCATTCAGGAATGGTGAGTGGTTGAAAAATTCCTGCAGATCTCTAATGTTCTGCTTTAACCCGCTGACAATGCAGGCATTTGGAAATGTGGCTTGCTATGTCTTTCTTCATTCCTGTCCACTAGAAGCGTTCCTTCAGATCGTGATACATCTTCGTATTGCCAAGGTGGATCACAAATTTCAAGTTATGAGATTCTACCAATATCTTTTTCCTGAGTTCTGGAAGGTCAGGTACGCAAATTTGATTCTGAAATTTTAGCATCACATTGCTTATTGTGAAGTCAGGATCGAGCGTGCCTGCATGTTCCTCGTACTTTTTCTTCAAAAGTTTATCTTTACATTGGCGGGCTCTAATTTCTTCAATCAGCTCGGGTTCCATGATTATGTTGGCAAGCAGTCCATTGATCTTCCAAGAACGAGGGTACATGCCAAACTTTTGGTCCTCTTTTGACTCAATGCGTCTGCTACTACGTTAGCTTTGCCGAGATGGTAATGGTTCTCTATATCGTAGTCCTTCATAAATTCTAGTCATTGTCGTTGCCTCATAATCAGTTCCTTTTGTGTAAACAGATATTTGAGACTCTTATGATCTGTGTAAATTTCACAGGTTACTCCGTAGAGATAATGATGCCAGATTTTGAGGGCAAAGATTACTGCGACTAATTCCAAATCATGGGTCGGGTAGTTCTTCTCATTGGTCTTTAGTTGACGTGAGGCATATGGAATGACCTTCCCATTTTGCACAAGAACACAACCCAAACCATTATATGAGGCATCACTATAAATTACGAACCTTCTGTTTCCACGGGGAGTGCTAGTATAGGAGCCGTCACAAGTCTGTTCTTCAATTCTTGGAAGCAACGTTCATGCTTGTTGGTCCATTCAAAGGGTGTGTTCTTCTGAGTTAGCTGGGTCAAGGATGATGTTATCTTTGAGAAATCTTGCACGAAGTGCCGATAATAGCCTGCTAGACCCAAAAAGCTTCGAATCTCGGACACGTTAGTAGGTCGTGGCCAATCCACGATTACTGTAACTTTTTGGGGGTCAACTGAGATGCCATCTTTGTTGATGATGTGACCGAGGAAGTGTACACTAGTGATCCAAAAGCCGCATTTCTTCAACTTGGCATAAAGCTTGTGATCACGTAGAGTCTGTAGAACTCTTCGCAAGTGGTGCTCATGATCTTCTGGCAATTTAGAGTATATGAGAATGTCGTCAATGAAGACAATGACGAACTCGTCAAGATAGGGTTTGAATACTTGAGTCATGAGGTCCATGGAGGCCGCTGGAGCATTTGTGACACCAAATGGCATGAGGAGAAACTCGTAGTGCTCGTAACGGGTTCTGACGGCAGTCTTTTCGATACTTTTCGTTTTGACTTTTAGTTGATGGTAGCTAGAACGCAAAGTCAATTTTCGAGAATACTTGGGCGCCTTGTAGTTGGTCCAACAAGTCATTGATCGTGGCAGAGGGTACTGATTTTTTATGGTGACTTTGTTCAGCTCCCGGTAATCGATGCATAACCTCATTGTGCCATCATTTTTCTTTACAAATAGTACTGGAGCTCCCCAGGGTGAGGTACTAGGTCGAATGAAACCTTTGTCCAATAGTTCCTAGAGTTGAGTCTTCAGCTCTTTTAATTCTGTCATGGACATGTGGTAAGGGGCTTTTGAGATTGGTTATGTACCAGGTTGGGTTTCAATGGTGAATTCGATTTCTTGATCAACCGGAATACCAGGTAGGTCTTCAGGAAATACATCCGAAAATTCTCGTACCACAGGGATTTCATCAAGTATGGGGGCCTCTTGTTGAATATTGATCACATAATAGATACAACTACAATAACCTTTCTTAGAAGTCGTTGGGCTATCATAAAGGATATAACACATAGAGAGGGAGAGACTCAAGTTCCATCAAAGACAAGCTCGAGTTGGTTTGGTGACTAGAAGAAGACCTTTTTGGCTTCACAATCAATAGAAGCATGGTTGGCAGCTAACCAATCCATTCCTAAGATCACATAAAGGTACTAATGCAGAGGGGAATCAAGTCTACGTGTAAGGTTTCCCTTTTTAAGAATACAGTACAAGATTTGTACACATCAGTACTAAGGGCGGAGTTACAAGGAGGAAAAGATACAGATAATATATATCCTAAAGGTTCAAGTGTTGATGCCAACTTGTTAGCATAATGTGGTGTAACAAAAGAATGAGTTGAACTAGAGTCAAAGCGAACATGAGCTAAGTGACCACAAATAGAAAATGTACCTGACATAACATTCTCAGTAACTTCTGGGTTTCCAGGCACCAGGGCAAAAGCTCTTCCTTGGCCTTTTTGGTCCCTCCTTGCTCCTCCAGGTACTGCGGGTTTTTGGACTGGTTCAGAGGGGCCAGTTGTAGGATTGGCAAGCTTTGGACAATCTCTCAACAAGTGGCCAACTTGGCCACATCTAAAGCATGCTCCTGTGTCTCGACGACATTGTCCCTAATGAGTCCTTCCATAGGTAGAGCAAGTTGAAATGGTGCCACCTCTGGGATTTGTAGGACCTTAATTGCTTGAACTGGTTGAACTAGTTATACATGTATTTACTCTCTTGGGAGGCGCGACACCAGGTCTTCTGTTTTCTCTTTCCCAAACTCGCTTCCTTTGGCTGGGTTCCTTAGAGCGCAAGGCTTTAATCTCTTTTTCCACAATGTATGCTCGATCCACCACCTTCGCATAGGTTGGTAGTTTCAAAACCTCCAGCCTGTCCTTGATTTCGGCATCCAATCCTACTTCGAATTTCCTGGCTTTTCGAGTTTCGGTGGAGATGACGTATGTCACAAATTGAGCCAGTTGCGTGAACTTGCTCTCGTATTCGGCCACCGTCATGGTTTCTTGCCTTAGATGCATGAATTTTGCCGCCTTTTGTTCCTGTAACAAATCTGGAAGTATTTTTCATAGAATACCTCCAAGAATCTTGCCCAAGTCACAATATCTTCTTTCTCCAGGGTAAGAAGCCACATTTCTTGTGCATCGTCTTTGAAGGTGAATATGGCGAAAGTCACCTTCTGCCTTTCTGTGCAATATAGCGCGCGAAAAATTTTCTCCATATCTCTGACCCAAGCTTCTGCCACCAGTGGGTTTGTACTGCCGGTGAATATGGTAGGTTTCAAGTCCTGGAATTGTTTTATAGTAGTTGGCTCTTCTCGTTGTTCAGGCAATCCGCTATTAATGTTGGTTTGTAGGGTTCGCAGAAAACTAGTAACTGCTCTTTCCATAATTTGCTCCATTGGATCAGTACCACTAACCGATGATTCGGTTCCATTTCCATCATTAGCCATTACTACAAGGTGAAAACGGTTAGTGAATTCCCCCTTTTTCTTTTTCTTTTTTTTCTTTTTTTTTTGAACCACTTAGTATACATTTAATTATCTATGATTCACAAGATACTATAACAGTACATATATCATTTTTACTTATGCAAAAGAAAACATACTAGTACAACGTACTTAAAATACAGTCAAGAGTTAGTGTCTAATCCTATTAATACAAAAACAGAAGGATTAGACTAATCATGGTCAGGTCACCAAAAAAAAAAAAAGGATCTCCTGGTCAGATGTCTAGAAGGGACTATTAGGCCACCATAAGAACTGGCTCTAGAAAACTGGCCCATGAAATAACCCCGCGAACACACTATGCATAAGGGGCTCAAACTCCCACCCACTAAGCTTTACTTCAAAGCATCGTCACACTACCCGGACCATATAGACAGGAATACTGTGATCATAACCCCAAAACTCTCGTCCGATAATCGCACCAGTATCTCCAAGTATGATACACTGTTAGTGAAGTCCACATCTGGGGTCTGGACAATGTGCTATGGATGAGGTGTCGTAGTGTGAATGTGGCTGCTAGGATATGCATGTCCTTTCCTCTCCGTAAAGCCCAGGGGTAGAGATACAACTAGAAAATGCGGTTGTCCTAGGTCTAGAGCAAGACCAACAACGTGGGTCGGCCCTATGTACCTCTCATGAGTGCTGCCTTGGTTAAGCCTCCAAAATATGAAATCCTCTTCGGGGTCGGCCTGCAAATACACGGGTCGCCCCATGAGTCGGTCAAGTGTCGGGTGGGCTTACCTGACAAGACTCTCTGAATCACCACATCGTTCTAATAAGTTCAAGATAAGATGAGCTCCTGGGGGCTCGAACCAAAATAACTCCATCAGGTTTGCCATTCCTACACCACAGGAAAACTTAGCCCAGAAATATTTATAACACAGTTTACTTGTGTTAGACAATTTAATTTAAATTTTTTTTGTTTTGGAAACCACATACCATAATATCAAATAATAATATGAAATTAAATTTATTATTAGTATTTTTTTTTTTTGTTTGTGCCCAAAACCATTGCTTTGATACCACTTTTGTCATGACCCAAACCCGATACCCAAAGGCTTGACGTCGCAACAAGATAAAAATAAAATAATTTTAAAATTACTATAGTCGTAGCGCAACGGATAAATTAAATAAATTAAAATAAAATAATTGGGTACTAAAAGTTTATTAAAAAGAAAAAAAAATAGTCATTTGGCCTTTTATTTTATTATAAGAGTCCAATCAAAAATACAAATAGTATAAAAAAAGAAAGAAAACACTGTGGTTTATCCCCCATCTTGATCCTGCTAAATCTCGTCACTTGAAAGGGGTAACAGCTATAAGCACATAGCAGAGTGAGAAATATTATACTATGAGTATAGGGGCACAAAACAGCCATGGATAGTTATTTAAGCTAAAATATTAACATAATTTAAGTGGAATAAACAAATTAATTAAATGGCAGAAACTGTGACACCCTAAATATTTAATTAATACCACAACTAATCATGATAATAATATTAATACTAGTGGGAGTGATAGTAAAATAAAATAATTAATTTTCTATCGGTATGCAATAAAGTGTCATTTAATTAGGGATTAGTTTGTGTTTTTATCAAACGAAGGGGAATATAATTATTTTAAAGAATTGGGGCCAAAATATAATTACCGGAAGTTAATAAGATAAGTATAGATTTAAGAGATTTCAATCCAAACCTAAGGAAGATTGCTATGGACACGTGGTGGGTAATGGCAAGGCTTGCCTCCCTATAAATGGGGAGGAGATCAAGATCAATGCAAAAAAAAAAGAAGAAAAACAAGCAAGGGTATTGGAGATAGGAAACTAAGAAGTAAGAAGGTTTATGATAGTAAAAAGTAAAGGCTAAGGGTTAATATTAAGGTGAGTTATATTATACCTTGAGTCACCATAATATATTTTACGTATGTTTTGGATTACCATAAATTATTTTACGCAATCTATGATTTATAAATTATATTAATATTTTGATTACGTTAATTATTTTTGAACTCTATTTGCTTAAATTGAAACACATGGATATGTTTGTTTAACTTTTAGAAATTATTTGACAATGGTTTTATAAATAAATATGTTTTACCACCACGGGAATTCCACGCCTTGGAGGACTTAAATAATCATTGGCTTTTGTTTAGCCACTTTGTGGTCTTCTGTTTGTCATGGATCCATTGACCTCTGTTCTGACTGTCACTTCTGTGACCTCTGTTCTGTTCTGTTTTGTACCGTGGTTATAGTTATTTATTTACATAAGTTTCGTATTTCAGTTTCTACCACTTTGAATAATTTGTTTATTCAAATTAAGTTGTATAAATATTTTAGCTTAACTAACTATTCATGGCTATTTTGTGTTCCCTATACTCTTGGCATAATATTTCTGTAATACCCTTGTTCTGTAGTATGCTAATTGGTCCTTAATATGAGTATGGTGATGTGTTTAATATGATTTTACGTGCCATTTTGTGAATATATGTGATTTCGAAGTTCTATCTGTTCACCGTAGGAATATCCGTTTGAATAATCTGCTTTGGAAATTAAATTGAAGGCCTTATCGGCCACAGAATCCGAAATTGATTACGCCATTGTGATTGGCATAATTTTTAGAACCTACAGTGAAATTTAATTGAAAATTGATTCGGATCAGATTAAATCGATTAAATTGATGAATTAGAACCCAACTACTTTATTACTATTATATTGGCCTTGGTAGGTTTTGTTGTAAAGGCTTTATACACTCAAACTTCCCTCTTTAGTTTATTTTGATTGAATCTAACTCAAGAGAAGGAGGAGGGGGTCAGCTAGAGAGAGGGAAAGACAAGAGTTGGATGTTTGGCTCAAATTGTGAAGAATAGAGGGATTAAACTCAAGAAATTGCCATAATTAGAAGAATTGAGCCTCTAGATAAGCTCTAATCTTTGAATTCATGAGACTTAACTTGTGATTTTTGTGAATTAAAGATTAATTGGTGATCAAGAACAAGAGTTGTGCTATAATTGATGAATTTGAAGCTAATGTGCACATGCATGTGTAGGATCACCATGATTTTGCATAATCAAGCATGTTTTTGTTGTGTTCCATGAGAATGATCACCATTTGTGTTATCTAAGTTGAGAATGTGGCTAATTCATCACATGCATGTACAATTTATGAAGATGGGAGCTTTGAATGCATGAATGTGTATGTTGGAGTTGAGTTTAGTGCCAATTTGGGACATGCATGTGGTTAATTCATGAAAGTGGGCTCCATGATGTTGTGTTTTGGTGTTTACATCATGTTAGTGCAAATATATGTGAAGTTGGAGCCATATTATGCAGGAAATGTGGTTGGAAGGTCGAATTGCAGCTCAAGAACTCAATCTGGAAAACCCAGATTTTT